CGGAACGGAGAAGGAATACAGCGCCCCTTCCTTCCGCTTCCTCGCCCAAATCATGTACAGAAATCGTGTAATATGCAAATGTACCTTCTGAGAGGACTTGAGAGAAACAATAAGCCCTTCGCGGAGCAAGCCGTTCCCGCAGTCGTGTGTTGTTTATGACAACCGTAAGTAAGACTATACTTATGGCAACACACGATTACTGGACGGGGGACGAAAAATTGTATGTAAATTAATTAAGAGTAATTGGGTATCTCAGATTAGAGAGAGAGTTTGTGAGTGAAAGTGAGCGAGGGAATGAGTGAGTGAGAGTGAGAATGAGTGAGAGTGAGTAAGTGAGTAGATGAGGGAGTGAGTGAGTGAGTGAGCATGAATGAGAAGGAGGCAGGAAAAGAGAAAGTAAATAAAAGAGGGAGGAAGAGAAAGAGAAAAGAGAGAGAGAGAGAAACGGACAAACAAACAGACAGAGACAGAGTAACTGATGTTTGGAGAGAATGTACCTTATTTCAACCAGATATTTGCAACACATGGGGTTCATCAACAATCAAATCTACCAACATAACCCCCCCACCCCCCCACCCATGAACAATATCCAAAAATGCGAGCTGGCGATAATGCACTGAGCTGGCAATGAAATATATTGAAATATCAGAATAATTGTTTTTATCGCCATACAATTACATTGCATTTGCATATCATAATACTATTGATGATAGCGAGGCCACAAATAATCTGAGCTACTGAGAAGATTTTTTGTAATAATATCCATTATAAAATATGGAAAGTTATAGAAGAGGCCAATTAATTGATTTTGAATTAGATATCGAATACATAATCAATGATAAAATATAAAAACAATGAATGATACATGAAAACCTGAAAATTATATAAGAGAAAATTGATACATAACGAGAAAAAATATAAAGGATTGCGTCTGAAAAAATTGATTCAAAGTAATTAAGAGAAACGCTGAATCAATAATCATATAGAGATAGATAGAGACAAAAGGAAATTAAAAAATAGAAAATAAAGAAAAATCGTAGATAGGGAGCGAGAAAGGGGATAAATGAGAAAGGAGGAAAAAAGTTAGATTGGAAAAAGATCAAAATATTAAAAGTTAATTGCCAAAAGCTGAGCTTCATTTTACGAAGCTGTCATGGCTAAAAGCTTACTCAATTATTGAACTTAAAAAAGGTAAACATAAAAATAGGAAAAGTAACGAAAAACTTTGAAAGCTAATTACCCACACTTCAAATAAACAGAAGAGATAATCATCCCTTCTGTCAACTATATGCTCTCTAACTTTTAAATCTTTGTCAATCGTATTTTCCAATCTGACTTAGATTAGCAAGAAGACACTAAATGTTAAAAAAAATCACGCAATACACTTTAAACTCAAGCAAACAAAAAAATCCTTACGTAATAGCACTCTTGTGATTATGATGTTATGAATTCAGAAATGAATATATAGTATAACAAAGTACATGAAAGATCTAGAACAGTGATGATACAGTATCATTAATCACACTAGTAAAACAAGTATATACGTGATAATGATGATAAAATGATAATGTTACTACTATTACTGCAGCTACTACTATTACTATTATTACTGCTACTACTACTATTACTACTATTACTACTATTATTGCTACTGCTACTATTACTGAAACTACTACTATTACTACTATTATTGCTACTACTGCCGTTACTGCCACTACCAGTACCACTACTACTACTATCAATAATGCTGTTACTTCTAGTTCTACTATTACTGCGACTACTACTACTACTACTATTACTACTACAACTGCTGCTGCTGCTGCTACTACTACCGCTGTGACTGCCACTGCTGCTGCCACTACTACAACGACAAATTCTATTGCTACTAGTATTAGTCTTAGAACTGCTACTACTATTACTCATATCACAACTGTTGCTGGAGGTGGTAATACTTGAATTACTAATACTTTTAATAATAATACTTCCTAATAATTCTGCTCCTCCTACCACAATCGCTACTGATGCTGATACTGCTACAGCAACTGCAACAACTACTATAACTATTACTATTAATATTGCTACTATTAATGCTGCCAATATCGAATGGTAATAACGGTAGAAATAGAAGAAAATAACAATAATAATGATAATAATGATACTAATGGTGATAGTAATAATAATGATAATAATAAAAATAATGATCATTATTATTATTATTATTATTATTATTACTTATTATTATTATTATTATTATTATTATTATTATTATTATTATTATTATTATTATTATTATTATTATTGTTGTTGTTGTTGTTGTTATTATTATTATTATTATCATTATCATTATCATTATTATTATAACAATAAGGATAATAATCATTATTATTATTATGATTTTTAATAATGATAATAATAATAATAATAATGATAATAATAATGATAATGATAATGATAATGATAATGATAATGATAATGATAATGATAATGATAATGATAATGA